AACTAATGCCATATTTATATTGACATGCCACTAAAGGGAGGCTGACATGTCATTATAAATATGCTACCATGACAAAAGCAAAAACTAGTGCAAATTTGCATGCACGGTTGAAGGTTCGTTTATTTTGAAAACTTCTATGTCTAATGAACATTAAAATTTCGTCTGATTTCCAGTAACAACAAAGGTTTCTACTCGCCGCCAAACAACAGATATCGTTCAAGGATACGCTGATTAGATCACGATTTAGGACCGGGTTATTTGGACGGATTTCCAACAGTTTGATCGCTCTCATAACGAAACATCTGTTTTACATTTGCTTACAACATGCACTGGGCACTTTCGATCAGACTTTTCGTAGATTTTGCCTTTCCGTCGCTATTCTCGGTTAAGATGGCAAAGGGGAAGGCGAAAGAACCTTTTCGAATCCTTTGTTCCAAGACTGATGCAAATGATTCTCATCTGATATTTTGATCTTTCATCTAATCAGTGAAAAATTTACCTATTGTGATTTATGGTTTCATAATCGCGACCATTTCGATTTATTAAAAATTAAATCTTATTAGCCAATAATGACACAAACAGACGACGGTAAAATGAATATATTATTAAAATTTTGAAAGATTACCAGTTTCCAAAGTTTTCTAGGTCGAAAGACACTTAACTTGTATGCTCGTAGATGATCTGGTTAAAACTCATAGAGACAATGACGTTACGCGTTTTCTATGGTGGCGTGTTCTGACATGTAAAATATGCTGGTCAAAAATTTGCATCTTCTTTTATGTCCGTTAATTCGAAGTACAGTCGATTTGGTCGACGCGTGCAAATGCAGTATCATTAATAACTTTACATCGCAGTCGACTGACCTATTTGTGGTTTAGGGAACCACACAGCGCAGATGCTTCTTGCTTATTGCCAACGCTAGTTTCGCTGACCACACCCTAACACCGTAGGGGCAGAACTGATTCGCAGGCAGCTGCCCGTTTGATATACATTAGGGCAAAATACCTCGATTTAAGGTAAGTGATAGATTCACTGCCTTAATCTGCTTCTATCAATCATTATACATTTATGAAAGCTTTTTTATCAGAAGGTTTCTTCATCGTTAAAACTCATGATAACCATACATATGACGAATCCGTAACCTTGGCTTTCGCCGTGAAAATTGAAGGCTGAACGCAAAGACATATGCCATCAGCACCAAAATTTGCACATAACTTTGAAACCGTTTTCGGATTAATTTGGAGTTTAATATGACAACGAAGCACCCATTTTTGTGCTAAAAATTTTCTAGTAAAATTTACCACTATCTTGGAAGGATTTTTATTCAAGCAGAGGGGTGGGATCTCAGCTGCTGTGAAGTAGCTTCATATTATTTGTGGTTTGCTGAGCAAGATTTTGAACATAAAAACACAAGATACCATCATGTCTGATGTATCGCCGAATTGATGAATTGCACTTGCAACGCTGTGAACAAATTATCTATGTACTAGAGGAAAGATACGCCACATTCTCTTTATAAAGTACATTTTTAAACCATATGATCACATGGTTTTCAGATCGTTGAACATCTGGCTTCGTCGTTCCTTCGAGCTCAGCGGCTGAACTTGACTGAGTGACAGAGGAAAAGCAACAGTGGAAGCAGCGTCTGAAACTTCTGCGTTCACAACAAAAACAAAAATGCTGGAACTAAAAGCGGATAGATTTTCCGTGATTTCTATTAATGCTTTCCAGCAATACGTTCTTCCCACTGTTTTCGATTACATGCGAGATTTTGGTGACTAAATTTATTCTTCTCGGCATTCATATAATCAGTATATAAATTTAATAAAGCGCTAAACCTGCGCATACTCGTGAATTCATTTTCTGTGATTTCCACACAACAAGTCATTTTGCCCTATAGACCTGACTGTCAAGTGTTATTGTTTACGTTTCAACAGGACGAATCAACACACTTATTTTTCAAGTCTACTTCGCATTTCTCGTCTAGGTTCCTGAGAACCAAGGAATGTTTGCGTTGACTAAAGGTGCGTCACTTTACTAAATATTTCTTGAAAACAGTCATCGGATAAATAAACGAAAATCACATCTTTTAGACGATCGGCTGATGTTTCGAGAAGAGAATTCAAATAGTCAATTCTGATCGTCAGGTCGTCCAAATCAGACATTAGAACTTGGCCGTCGACTGAAATGTCTTCGATTTCTCCGGTTACATTTTTCAGCTGAAACAGTGATACGTAATTAGAGCCAAATGCCGCGCTGTACGATTCACATTAGTTTACTGCATGATTAGAATCATTGCGAAATATCCTATCTTTGTCTAAAGTGCATTAGCATGAAAAATCACCTGCCGCAAAAAATATATAATGTAAACAATCATCAGCAACAGTAGTGAAAAAAACAAGCAAACATGAAAAGAAACAAGAAATTATAACCATGCATAATGCATAAATGCTCAGAAAAAATCTTGCAAAATCACTACGTTACCGACTCTAAGAATTTTCAGAAGATAATTTCTATACTTGTGATCACTTACGTAATGCCTAACTCCTTCAAGGCCAGATGTCGCGGCGTACTGCACCGACCCTGACCTCTAGTTGTCTATGCGAGAGGGAAAGCACTTAAACAGGCCAGGATTCTATGGCATTTCAGCTTCTGCAGTTGCAGATGCATCTCGCATCATTTTGTTTGCTACAGCCACCTAACGCTCAATACAAACGATGTCACATGCACTTACGTCATATTCGTCGGCTTCGACGAACAGTAGTTTAACCAGCCAGTTACCACATGTTATCTTTTAACAGACATGGAAAATAACGCATACTCTCGCTTTCTGACCTCAGAATTTCCGAGGGATTCGTGGCACAGAAAGAACGACACCACCCTTGATATGGACATAGGATGTACAGAAATCACGGCTTATCATTTCAGGTTGCGAAGGCAGATGCGTCAGATAGTGTCTCCACGTTCCTGACTCTGGGCCACTGCTTGAGCAGAGTCTGTCGATGCACTTGTCCCCGGTCATTCTTTATCTGTCCCCGGAGTCATCGGTCGGTTGGTTGAGCAAGCAACAGCTGTTTTGCCTTCCTTTCTGGATTCATTCGCAAGAAATGCCCAAGCAACGGCAACTATGACTTGTAGGTCTAGGGAAGCAGTAAAAATTGGACACCATCGCTTTGTCAGATATCTGAATTCCGCACTCTGAACTACGAATTAACATCAATAATGTAATAAATCCAGTTTTCCGCCCGTTTGCTTTTATGCCGTTATCTAGTTAGATCAGTATTTTTTAATTTAATGGTAAATCATAGTGTCTAAAGACAATACCAATTTCATAGTGACGATAACTGGATCTTGTTGAGTTGGTACATTCCA